TAAATAATCAATTATATATATTCACTTATTCCGTTTACGAAGAATGTCAACACAAGTTCAAACAAATTAAACATACACAGCAAGACTACCTGCTGTGTTTATATTCCAGTTGAATTGTTGTGGTGCCTCTTATAAGTAAGTTTGATTACTGGGTCAAGTTACCTCCAGACTTTTGATTTATGTAACCTGTGTCCACTCACAGTGGTGTAAACATCGCAATTTAGGGTTTGTGCATTAAACACTTTGGAGTTTAAAAAAACATTTACACTGCAAGAAATAAGTATAATTATGTATATCAAAAAATCATGCACGTCAGACAGAGAAAACAAATATGTGCACATATCAAAATTATCCAGCAAATCTCGCTTGAAATATGTGAAGGAAATAATTATTTGCACAATATTGTTACCATCTACCGTCCCAGATGTTAACTTTTAATAAGCGTTCTCGTCAATAGCATTTCCAAACATTGGCTGTTGTTAGCATAACGATACAAAACAAATATACGACTGGCAACTATAGTAACTTGGAAGGTGCGCCGATATATCATAAGCCTTTCATATTAATTAAATTACAATGCAGTTATAAAACAGACACTTCTTCCTCGAGTAGCGTTCTGTTTTATTGGACGGAGTTCAAAAACTACGGACGGTCCTAGATTGCGAATGATAATGATGACAAATGAGCTCAGGGCTTTTTAGATAACGACACCGAATTAATATGGAGTGGATATATGGGGATTTACCTGATGCTTGCTTTTATCACTAACACCCACACATCGTGTTCAATTATTGAAGTCCGTAGTTCTATCCAGCCAAATGCCAGTACAACATTTTACATATTTGTATGCATTTTATTGCAGTCAAATGGACATAACAGTGTATGGATAACGGATCACTGATGAAGAATGTGTCAAACATTGGTTCATTCGTTTCATCATAATACATTTGTTATTATCTACCAATGTATACATTGGATCTTGGAAAGACCACCTCTATTCTTTTTACACTTTATACCCCCCCCCCATCAGCACCACCCGCAGTTACTCGGGGACTAAAATAAATAATTGATTGCTGTATTGTATCGCTAATGACACAATTAACGATCTGTGTTCTCACCTTTAGAATGACCTTCGTGTATTGCAGCGTCTACCAACTCCCTGAGACGAGCTTTGACCTTACATGGAATAAGATCCCTGTTAAAAATCCAATCGTTCCAGCTCCGACTCATCGTACGGTCCTCGATCCACAAGAAATGTTGCCCTGTTATGGGCTCCGGAAGAGGTTTAGTTCGGTGCCTTCGAACGAGGCGGATCTTACCGTCAATGGAATTGGTGAAATCATAGAGTCGTGGTCTGTCATTAAATGACCACTTTGGGTCGGGTAATCCTAAAATAGGCACGAGCAACTCGAAATCAGCCGACTCATTCTCAATGACTTTCATATTTAGCGTATGTCTCCCTACAGGTATCACACTGTCATCGAAACGCCTGTCTTTCTTGTGTATGAATTTCATAATAGGATGTAGAATGCCTTGGAGCTCTGTTATCGCATCGTTTTCAGCTCCCTCGTCCACCTTAGCCCGTACTTCCGCATACTGTTTTAGACTTTGACAGAATTCGTCGTTTTCGTCGGTAAAGGCAGCGAACATGGCCATCGTAGAAGTCACCACGTCGTCATTCTCAAGTTCTAATGTCAAAATTTAACAAGGGTGTGCGCACTTATAAAAGAAATCGGGGTCGAACTGTGACTGCATACACAAGTAGGTGAAATAGTTTTGCCGCTAGGGTTTCCCCCAGAGCGTCGTGTTGTTGTCATGCGCACCATTGTCGTGATCATTTTTTTGCTAGTAAATGTTTAACTTCGCTTACCCCATGCGGCCGGCCATGATCCGACTGATATACGTATATATGGCGCTCATGTAAGTCTCAGAGTCAAATGAGGGGTTCAACTGCTATGAAAAGTATTTCAACATAAGGACGGGATCGGTACTAATTATAAATTTAACAAACGGATGATATAAGTAAATCTATGGTATCATATGCACTCACACGTAAAAGCGCTCGGCCAAAAGTCCCAACACAGTTCATTTCCAGTTACCGAGGCACATGAAATCTCTACGTGGAAATCCAATAATTACTGTCACATTTTGTACCTATAGGTCGCAACACAGGCTCGAATGAATCTCGGAAAACAACACACGCATTGTCTTTATACTTTATGGGTGTCACGTCGGGGTTATCAGTGTGATCCGATGACATCGTTATATACTTGTATGCAAGGTCAAAATCCAACCAGTCACACATAGAGTCGAATCCACCGCTGAATACATATTCCTCCCATGCGGACGACGTCGGCCATTTTACCAGCAGCGGCAGCAGCAGCGTATATCACGGCGTCTTTATACAATGAATTGGGAGTTTAAACTTCTTTCCGGGGGTTGCAAACTCCCCTTTTTCTGCATAACAGACAGAGATCGAATAACTTAATAAGTCGAACATGCATGAATACAACAGAGTGTCAAGTTACAACAAGTTTACAATGGCTACTTTCCCTGTCATTGATCAAATCACGATTTTGCGTACATGCCGAACGGTTGGAATCACAAACTGAAAAGAAGGAACACATCACGTGACTTCATCAGAAAACACTTGCCGCTATTGTCTGGGTATAAATTAACATTTGTAAGTAGGGCGGTGCCGTGAAAATACTCCTTCCCGGGAATAGATATTAATACTTATTGAAATTATTTCTTTATTTGTGGATAAAAAATACCTATATCACTGTTCCTCAACATTGTTAATAACGGACGGCGTCACTATGAACTTACATGTAAGCAGTTAGTAAAACCCCAAACATGACATAACACACCGTAGTGAAAAACAACACTCCATGCCCTCTCCCCCGGCTGTGTTTCAAATACTCAATGTATAGAACTCGATTTTGCTCAGACTCGGCAAGACAGTTTCGAAATGTAAAATTTGTCTACGGGAAGTGGACATACCATGGCAATAAAAAGCAAGAATACAATTGATGTAAGCCCTAATAACGGCTATTATTGTGTCGACAAAGAATCTGGTAGTTATATGAACAGATCGAGTCAGTGACACTTAGTGACATATCATAGTTTATCAGTCTATACCTTCGTTTGCGTCGTATTACAAAAAAATGTTCTTATGATGGCATGAATGCACTGGGTATCGACAATTGGGAACACTATTCAACTTCGTCACAACGCCCTGTCTTTTATTAGAATCACATGAATGAGCTATTGTACACAACAAAACCTCGCCAGTAGCAGTCACTGACAACAATAGACAGGTTTACAACATGCAGCAAGGGGTTTTCAACGGTGTACTAAGTTTTCACCAGTGTAGAGAGGGAATTACTTCAAACATTGGGGTTTGTTTGCTTACACGGTTCGCGAACAATTATATGGTCTGTAGCATAATGCATTCGCCGCACTCATGTCTATTTCCCCCACAACACCAAGGCGAAGGCGAACGTCGATGATTATTATTATGCTTACGGTACGTGGACACGTTTTCAACGGTGTACTAAGTTTTCACCAGTGTAGAGAGGGAATTACTTCAAACATTGGGGTTTGTTTGCTTACGCGGTTCGCGAACAATTATATGGTCTGTAGCATAATGCATTCGCCGCACTCATGTTTATTTCCCCCACTACACGAAAGCGAAGGCGAACGTCGATGATTATTATTATGCTTACGGTACGTGGACACGTTTTCTCTTTAGAATTTAATATGCCCCTAAGTCACGTGGCCCACGCGACCTTAAAAAAAATATAATTCAACAATAATTCTTTGTTTTTGTTTTTCTGTGATGCAATCTGAAGAGCTATATATGTTTCTAAAGTTTATCCGTGTTTTGTGTTTATGGCGAGATGTGGGTAGTTGTATGAGGACCACATCCTATATCTGACCCTCGGTGAGTTTCTAGTATATATTTGTATATCTCGCTAAACAACGTATTGTAATGCGGTCAAAGCATGGAAAACGTTATATTTACCTTCGTTTTGGAATAACAATAGCGTAAAGGGGAAAGGGCTAACACTATAGATAATGCCAAGCATTGTAGTCATGTGAAGAATAAAGTGTCAGTGAAAAAAGGTTTTGGTGCCCGTACATGTAGGGTCATATCATAGACACTGTGATCGTATCGTGTCAATTCATTATCAAATATATAATTTTCACTAGGAAACACTTGCCTACTGATTGCAAGTCGTGAATTCAATTCATATAAAATACATGCATCAAACCAAATTGGAACTATGTCAACCTTAGCTAGTGTATTAAAATTTGGACAAGGCTGTTACGGACTTCTGTTCGCCGCGTTTCTAGGACATTTTTGTGTGAAATTTGATTTTGAATTTTAGTTTTGAACTCAAATTATTTTTGGAGATGAAATGCGCTGTAGTCGCTTTGTCATAACACTACTTAACGACGAATGTCCGCTTACAACATCGAACGATTGCAGATGCCCAGATGCCGTTTAGCCGTTTAAAGAGTGTGTATTTCTAAAAAAAAAAAATTGCCATGGCCTATTATTAGCCAGGGTAATTAAGGTTTTCTGTAAAACAAAAACTTGATTCATGCAGGTCGAAACTGACCACCGACTACACAACTTGTGACTCCAAGATAATCGGATCACGTTAACTTGTTGACAAGTGTTTGCACACCTTTCCTTAGCACGGGCTAATACTAGGCCAACATATTTTAACAATAAAACGTGCGCCCGGTACGGACGAACAAACTGCTAGTCCTCGGAGCCTAATATATCTCCACAATAAATATTCATGATTTAAACTTCATTCGATTTAAATCATCAGATTTATTTAAATCGGATATATTCACGTATTTTTTGAAAACTTTAGCGGTCAGCCCGACGTGAATTTAAATCGTCAATATTAATGATTCAAATCAACGTCACGTTGCAGTTTTTTTTTTGAGAACAATACGAGAAAATATTAAATTTAAATCTAAATTGAAGTATTGTCACCCTGGCAGCGTGGAATCAATTTATTGATAATGCGTCGCATGAAAATTCATTGGCTTACAAGGATTCAAATCCTCAATATTGAGAATTTATTAAATGGATTTGATATCGAATAGACTCACGTATTTCAAATCCAAACTGTCTTCTGGTTGTTGTATCATGAGAATATATTCAAGAAATATATGGATATATTGTTTTTTACACTTTCCCACACACTTCGCGTTCTCATTCAATGTTTACGTTTATTGTACAAATCTATTGAAATCCCGAAAGCGATCTACTTCACATTAGCAACATATGTTTCGTTTGTAGAAACGACACACTACGATTTGGGAAACAACTACATGTCAAACCATCGTCCACGCCTCACCTACACACAGAATAAATATTCACTAACGTGTTTATCGTGGTACTTCTGGCAGCTCGAGTGGATCCATTTTTTGTATTAGTACGTCCATGCTCTAACTCATGGGAACAAAAACACGCCAGAGCTGCCTTTCAG